TGTTTCTTAAAATATTTTCTTCATTTGGTTTCTAAGATATCCTTTTTTACATTTCCTTTAATGGTTGCTTTCTCTTAAGTCTCTGATGAATTTTCTTCCTCTTCCTGACCTCTAAATGGTAGAATGTCTTAGGGCTCAGTCTTTAGTTTTCTTCTTGATTGAAGTTACCATAAATAATCTTATCCAGTTCCATGGCTTCAAATGCTACCTGCGGATTGCTCCTAAATTACATCCTTTGCTTTGATCTACTGGGCTCTGAATTAATCTATGCAATTAATCATGTAATAACTGTACTTAGATGTCTAATGGACATCTCAAAATCAAAATCATGTCTAAAACAGAATTCTTGATTCCCCCATGAGGATAAATTGGCTACTGATGTCTTATACCTACCATGTGATTTTAAATTTTCAATGTACTTTTCATACATTTAAAAATATTATCTTTATAGAAATGCTATTAGGATAGCACATGTCAATTCCATCAGTCAGACAGACATACTATGGCTCAGATCTGCTGGGTAAGTTTTTAAAGAGTCCATATTTAATATATGACCCAGAGTAAGCAATAGATTTCAAGTCTCCTTATTCCCTCTATATGTTCTCTACTAGGTTATGATGCCTATCAAGTCATACTCAATTCTTTAGAAACAGTGATTTAAAAGATGAGCTTCCAATTAACAGGCAATGGAACATACAAATAGTGTGACAGAAGAGAGATATAACTTAGTCACTATGTGTGTTGGTCAACATACCTTTATAAAAGGTTTCTCCTTTGCTAATTATAATTTACATATAATTACTGTGGTATCATCCAGAATCATTTCACTATTCTTTAGGAAGACTCCGTTTTGCTGAGTTTCTACTCTTCAGAAGGGAGGTAAGTTGTCTTGTCTGATCTTGAAATCCATGACGGTACAATAATATTTATTTTTACAAAAGTAAATACCATCTCAAAAAATTGAAATCATTATGATATATCATTCATGACATAATGACTCTTTACCTTAATTACATCTAGATCTTCACACAGAGACCAGGAAAATAAAGAGAATACTAAACAAATCTTTGAAAATACAAACATACTAGTGGAAAACACACAAAGAATTTATTTGTTTCAGGCAAGTTACTCAATACATCTTATATATTTATGTCTGAAGAAAGAAGCTATTATAAGATACAGCATTATAAAACTAGTTCATTGCTGTAGATAATTACTTTTGATAATTTCATATCTAAGCTACTAGAACATATGCTCAAATACTGAAATTTGAAGATTTGTTTCAAATACTTTTGGAGCTTATGATTCCATTTTTTTCTTAAGAAAATAAAGCATAATTAAAATCTTATTTTAAACACATATACATATGCACACAAATACAGAACTTAGAAATCCATTGAAAGTTTGAAGTCCAGTAATTTTTGGCTATGTTACAGTTAAACTTGGGCTTTAAAATGAGAGATAATCTGAATTCTATTGTCAGCAGGTCAAATCTATTAGGTGAGTAGGTATGAATAACTGCAAATTTTAAGAACTATTAAAAATGTACCCATTATAATGTCACCGAATAGTAATGAAGACAATGACAAACAGACTTTGTCATTTGCTATGTAATAGATAGGAAGAATTTTATGATATAACAAAAAACAAGACTACATTTCTTAAATCTGCCAACATGTCAATGTTTTTGAGATAAAAACCTATAACTACTCATACATGAAAACCAAATCGGTATTGTTACAGAATCTCAATGTATGGTCAATAGATCTATAATTCTGTAATACAAATACTATCAAAGAAAGATATATGGGATAGTTATGCCAAAAATGTAAAGACATGAAATTGGTCATTTAGAAATACTGACCCTTCTGTTTTTGAAATATTCTACATCTTAACTTCTGTGATACTATCCTCTCATAATTTTGGTCTTTTCTTTGTGATTGTTCCTTCTTCTTCTTCTTGGACTTTTCCTCCGCACAATTCTAAAATGCTAATCTTCCACAGGGCATTATCTTGGCCTACTGCTATTTTATCTGTATCATTCTTCTTGGGCAATTTCAGCCATGTTCATGAATTTAAGTATTATCTAAACTTTGTAACTCTCATATTTATGTCCCTGGTCCTGACACAAGCTTCAAAAGTGTTTATTTAAATGTTCTAGACATTTCCACTTGGAAATTTTCACAGATATCACAAATTCAAAATTTCCTAAATCAAAGATTCATTCTCTTCCTCTTTCCCCAACATCTCTCTCTCTCTCTCTTTTTTTTTGTGTGTGTGGGGGAGTGCAGGACAGAGTCTCGCTCTGTCACCCATGCCGGAGGGCAGCAGCCAATCTCGGCTCACTGTAACCTCTGCCTCCCGGGTTGAAGCAGTTCTCATGCCTCAGCCTCCAGTGTAGCTGGGACTACAGGCATGAGTCATCACGAAGGGCTAACTTTTATATTTTTGTAGAGATGGGGTTTTGCCATGTTGCCCAGGCTGGTCTCGAATTCCTGACCTCAAGTGATCTGCCTGCCTTGGCCTCCCAAAGTGCTGTGATTACAGGCATCAGTCACCATGCCCCAACCACTCCTCTTATATTTCCAATATCCATTAATGGCACTACCATCCACTCAGTGATGCAAGTCAGAAATATGGGAGTCATCTTAGAATTTTCTCTCCTTCACTCCTCATATCCAATTAGTCACTTAATCAGGTAACTGACTACTAATTTTGCTCTTTAAAAATTCCCTAAATCTATCATCTCCTCTCTATCTTTATTACAACTGGCTGAGTTCAGGAGCTTATCTTTTGTCTGAATTATTGTACTTCTCCATTAATTCACCATTAAATGCTCTTTTCCAGATGTGGACTTAAGTTTACCTCTTTATTGTAGCCCCACTGGAATATAAGCTCCAAGAGAAGAAGGATTTTTGTCTCTGTTTTCTTTAGGATAGTCCCTGGCAAATGATAGGTATGCAAAAATTATTTGTTACATAAACAAATGGCAGCCTGAATGGGCTAAAAACTATACATAAAGTACATACAAATATGACCATATCAATCCTCTACTGAGAACCTTTTAAAACTTCCTATCATCTATAACTATGATCTGAGATGCTCTATGACCTGGTCTCTATTTATCTACTAGCCTCATCTCTAGCTATTCAGTCTAATATTTTATGTTGAAATTATGTAACTGCTTATCATTCCTGCACATATCATGGATCTATGCCTTGTTTCTTATGGTTTCTATCTAGAACACCTTTCTAATTGTCTTTTACCTGGTTAGCAGCCACTTGAGTCACTGAGATGATACCTCTGATTAGGTATCATCTCCAGGAATTCATTCCTGGAATTCCAGGTTGAGTCAAGTGGCCCTCCTCTGAGCATCCAGTATACCTTCTATGTAATTCTAGATTCACCACTGGTGTATGACCTTGAACCAATCTGTTTAAGTATCTGTCCTCTATTAGACTGTAAGCAACTTGGGTTATAAATGATTTCCTATTCATCTTTTTTCTTCATGTGTCTGGCACACGGTAAGTGCGCAATATTTATACATAACAACCCTGAATGAATGGAATTAATTATTTAGTTTCATATATTTTCTAAATTGTAGTCTTATTAATGTCCATTTGAGGTTCCTAATTTAAAAAACATTAGTAGACTTTATTTTTTAGAGAAATTTTAGATTGACAGATGTAAATTTTAAAGAAAAAAATGCAATGAACTTCTATTAGAGACGTATAAAAACAATCTCAATTTCAAAAGGCCAACATATATCATATTAGCACAACATAGTTAATTACATATAAATATTAACAATTTTAAAAGTCATTAAAGTATGATCTGTATGTCCACTGTCCATAAATTAAACTTCTATTTATACATTAAAATGCAAAATAGTATTTTAAAACAACAAATAAAAAAATCCTATAACAAAAATCCCTTTAAATATCTTTAGTTACAACCAGAATATTAAAAATACCAACAAATAATTATTTCAACATAATATTGTTAAATAAGACTAAATTCCCAGAATTACAATTATAGTTTGTAAAAATCAAGATTAGCCGGGTCCAAGAATTAAAGTAACCTTAAATTATTTTGTGCTGTAGATTTATATCTGACTTCTATGTACAAGAGTCCTAGTAGTCAAGCATAAATTAGATTTAATCCAGCTGCCTATAATTTATTTTGCAATAAAAGAAACACCATATTACATGCATTTGTTAAGTAGAAGATATGCTATTATTTCCAAGATACCAAGGATTTAATGTTTAATTATCAACACCCATTTGAAAAAAAGACATTGCTCTGATTCACAAATTTCTTAATTGCTAACAGTGGCTTTTCTGAGTAGGAGTGTTGTCTATAATTTGTTTTTGCAGATGTGATTTAGCAACTGAATTTTAAAGTAGCAAAGCTTTGAATATCTTCAATGTCAGCAGAAAATTCCTCCATCCCTGCTGCTGGAGAATATTGCTGTTTGAAGTTTTAACAGGGAAATAAAAATTGCAGTGAGAAAATTGATAACTACTAGCAAATGTTGCTTACAAACTGAAAAGGAAGTTGGGTTGTCAGCAATACAAGAACTGTATTATTCACACAAAATATGAGGAGTCATCTTCACAGTATCTTGCTGGGAATGGAAATTAATTTAGCTGGTTCCAACTTGAGGAACCTAAAGAAAAGCAAATATCCCCCATTTCAGATTATCTTTACAAAGGATCAGCAACTGGCAATTGGGTGTCACAGCATAACTCTTCCCTGAGGAGGAAAGACATGATCTACATTTTAAGAACACTAGCCAAGGTTCATTTTGAAGCAGGCTCATTGATCACTGGAAAAAACATCATTGTTGATCTCAGAAAGGTTAACTAGTTTAAAATACCCTTTCCCTCTGGAACATGTCATCATCCACATATTACTGCAATAAAACGAGTAGGAGAAAAGAAATATATCTTGTAATGACAACTCAAATATGAAGTTAAAAGTAACATTAAAATTCCTACCCGTTTGGCTGAGCTGAGAAGCACTGCGACTTTTCCGTGACAGACCAACAATAGCTACCATTTTGGCACCAATGCTAGAGCGCCGCTTTTTGCCACTGGTGCCCAAGGCGCCCACTGCAGTGTCAGACTGGCTGCCATCATTCTTCTCCAGTGAGCACATGTCTCCACTGATGCTGGTGCTTTTTGTCATGTTCTTCCCTGATATGCCCATTTGTCTGCTTTGCATTTTGGATGTAAAGACACTGTCAGCCGATGGATCATTAAAAGTGAGGACAAGAGTAAAAAGGAAAAGACAGAAAATGCATTTTAGATAAAACATTTGGAGTCTAATTAAATTATATCATCTAATGGAATATATTTTTAGGATTTAAAAAATTTCAAGTACCATGGTCTTGATTTTGTGTTTTGCTACTCTGGGCCAACCTTACAGCAAATATGCAAAATCAGATTTATGATTTTATTTCTACTGTCAAAGACAAGGTGCAAGTTCACATAATCACAGGAAAAAAATTCATGAAAAATCAGTGAGTTCATTTAAGACACTATGCTGTCCTGCAAGTGGAAGTATGCCTTTAGGTAGGCATACAAAATAAGGGAGAAGTTTACAAAAACATTCTTCTGTACTTTACTGTTGCTTTCAAAAAGAAATTAGACAAGTGGGAAAATTTTACCAAAAAAAAAAAAAAAAAAAAAGGCCAATACTATAGTATCCATTTCAAGAGTGGCCCTGTAACTTTTCTCATAATAAAGTTTATCTACTAATGGTTAAATTTTCTAAAAAGACTTGCTATTTTCATTAGCTTTGAATTAAAAAATACTTTATTTTACTTTACTTAATTTCATCATTACTGATATAAATCTGTATTACAAAAATAAAGAAAAGAAAGATTTCCTTCTTGCATTCTTTTGAAAGAAAGAAAAATCATTATCAGTTTTCCAGACAGTGCACCAGAAAGCAATCAATGAATCACTGAGGCATGTGAGCTGATTAATAATCTACTGCAAGACTAATACTGCAACTGGGAGTAATTAAAGAAATGACTTTGGATTTTTCCACGATTTCTGGGGTATGGTAGAGGTAGATTAGAAAGTGAAGAATCTGGAAGCAGGCTATCTAGCTAGTCCCCATAAACCTAGGAGGAATATGAGGGAAGCAGTCTGTTTTGCAGGAATGAAAAGACTTATTTACACATCAATTTTTGACTCAGTATTGGGGAAAGTTTTATTTTGGTTCTGATAATGAATGTTTAATATATAAAGTAATAAAAAAGAATAAGAATCAAGAAACAGAAATATCTTTAAACATTACATAAAGGATGAGAATTTGAAAACTAACCTATTGAGGTGAACTCTTATATCTAATTCAGTATCTTGGTGTTCCAAAAAAAAAAAGGTGTTTTCTATCCTAGAGTAGAATCTGGTTAAAGGCTAGGACCACATACTACTTTTGTTAACCTATGTAATATCTTCTCCAAGTATTTAAGAGGGAAAAGACCCAGTGTGAAATTAAAAAAATATATAGTGAAGTATACTATTATATCCCTCACATTCGTTTTAAGAAAAAATGTGGCATACATAGTCAGAAACAGGACAGAGAGAGTCCGTGTGTGTGTGTGTGTGTGTGTGTGTGTGAGAGAGAGAAGGTACAGGCGGGTGAGGAGAGAGAGAAGAGAAGAGAAGAGAAGAGAAGAGAAAAGAGAAGAGAATATGTTTCTGTAATATCCTGAACTGATAATTTTCAACTTTGTTTGATTTTGATAGAAGGTAAAAAGACAAGGCTTGTTATAGTTTAAAAGGGCCAAAGTTTAACAGAAACTAAGGCTTTATATTATAACCTATGTTCCATAGTTAGAATAAACTAGTGCTTCTGTTATATAGTAATTTTTGGGTGGGCACAGTAGCTCACGCCTGTAATCCTAGCACTTAGGGAGGCCGAGGCAAGATGACTGCTTAAGCCCAGGAGTTTGATACCAGCCTGGGCAACATGTGAGACCCCCATCTCTACAAAAAAGTAAAAAATTAGCCAGGCATGGTGGCACATGCCTGTAGTCCCAGCTACTTGGGAGGCACAGGTGGGAGGATCACCTGAGCCCGAGAGGTTGAGGTTGCAGTGAGCCGAGATGGTGCCACTGCACTCCAGCCTTGATGACAGAGTGAGATCCTGTCTCAGAAAAAAGAAAAATTTTCACTGAAAACATATACTTTTCTAAAGAGCCACCTAATCTACTAATTACCAAGGATGTCAAAGATACACTCACAAAATTGTATCTTGTGATTTTTGCATTTGAATTTTTATGTTTCAATATCAAGGCCATAAAGAACTTGACCAAAATCAAATAAGATACTACAATAAAATACTAATTGGAACTGATACATCTTTTTGTAGATAATATTTTAATGAGAACTTGGTTTGAAACAAGTACACTTCTCTTCAACCTAACAACTTTAATAAAGCATTATTTACAAAAGGAGTTATTTATTTTTATTCATTTGTTTTTTAGAGACGGCGTTTTGCTCTGTCACCCAGACTAGGGTGCAGTGGTACAACCATAGCTCATCGTAACCTTGAACACCTGGGCTCAAGTGATTTTCCTGCTTTAGCTTCCTAAGTAGCTAGGACTACAGTGCATGCCAGCACACCCAGCTAATTTTTTGGGGGGCGGGGGCAGGGTAGACAGAGTCTCACTGTGTTGCCCGGGCTGGTCTCAACTCCTGGACTCAAGGGATCCTCTCTCCTGGGCCTCCCAAAGTCCTGGGATTGCAGACGTGAGCCACCGAGCCTGGCCCAAAAGGGGTTATTAAAAGTTTTATAAGATGGATACTCTTTTTATTTCCTTGAACTTAGAGATCACCAGGGATGAGTTTATGAATAGTGGCACTAGAGTGGTTTGTTTTGATGACAGAAAGGTTGCGGCTAGGGTTCCTTTTCTTTCTTCACTGGACATCATCTAAAACTATAAGCAAAAAATGTAAAAAAACAAGCTACCATTTTTTTTTATTTTTGAGATGGAGTTTCGCTCTCGTTGCCCAGGCTGTAGTGCAATGGCACGATCTAGCTCACTGCAACCTCCACCGCCTGGGTTCAAGCGATTCTCCTGTCACAGCCTCACAAGTAGCTGGGATTGCAGGCATGCACCACCATGTCCAGCTATTTTTTTTTTTTTTTTTTTTTTTGTATTTTTAGTAGAGACGGGGTTTCTCCATGTTGGTCAGGTTGGTCTTGAACTCCCGACCTCAGGTGATCCTCCTGCCTTGGCCTTCCAAAGTGCTGGGATTACACACGTGAGCCACCGTGTCTGGTCACAAGCTACCAAAATTTTTAAAGTTTTGGGACTCTTGATTTATGAAATACTTTGTAGTAAAGAATTTGTAATTATGGGCAATATTTTAAAATGCTCAATTTGGTTAGGAAAAGACGTATTACATTAGCAATTGTTTTAAAAGAGAAATTTCATAAGGGTTTGAAAAAATACAGTATATTTCAATACTTCTGGTGAGATCTCAGTGGTAGATTTCTAAAGAGCAACTTGGCAATATATGTCAAAAGCCTTAAAAAAAACAAGCCTACCCTTTAACCTGGCCATTCTAGTTTAGAATTTATCACAAGGGAAAACTTAGCAATGTGTACAGATTTAGCTATAATGATATTTACTGCACAGTTGATTATAATAGCAAATAAATAAATAAATAAAAACAAGGGGAGAAAACCCACAAATGTCCAACAATAGTGGGTGTTTAAATAAATTATGTTCATCAATAAAAGACAATGTACTTTTGAAAATGCTGTTATATATAAATGTTTATGGACATAAAAAGATATTCTTGATGGTGGGGGATGGGGAGGGAGAAGCAGATATTTGTAACTTAGCTTTGGGTAACATATGTATTAAATATGGATTCACCCTACTACAAGGGGACATAGGCAAATTCACATCCCAGAGTTTTTCCAGTGACAGAAATCCAAAAATAGTTTTATAAAAAAAGAAGAAATATTTTGTGCTAAACTAAGTAATTTGAGAAGCCTAGATTCATGAGATGATGTACCAGTCATCTGCACAAAAGGAGAATGAAGAGAATATGATGAAAAATAAAATAATGTGTTCAGAAAAATTTTATTTTTAGGGGAAAAATATAAATGTACGTAGCCAAAAATATGAAATGATATACTGTGACCAGTCTGCTAAAAGTCATTTTAATTTTTTCTGGTTGATAGCTATGTTTTAAAAAAAGTTTGTCTTTTTCTATTTTGTTTTTTCCAGAATAAACATAAAAAGTGTTGGTAATAAAAAAAAAAACTAAAACAGACAAATGAAAAAAGCAATCAAGGACCAACATCACTTCTTCTTTTATGTAAGTCAAATTATTCAACCCACATTAGTTCATGTCACGCATTAAAGGTACAGTATGGATTTCTAGCTAATCCTAACAGATTACTACACAATATATTGAGTGTTGATATAGGGTGTTCAGTTCTAGAAAGGGACACTGTTTTTACATTTCTAAATATTGTTTTGTGCATATTTATAATTTTGGCTTTAGAAAAACAATAAAAACTGTACATATTTAGTATTATCAAAGTTAAATATATAAAACTGTCAATACAAGAGACTGATTTATGGCAAAATTATAGTTGTTAAAAAGTTGTATCCTGAATGGTTAAAGAAAAAGGCAAATCTAGTATTGTCAATCATTAGGAGAAAAGTAACAAATAACTACAAAGCAAGTGAAATATGAGTATTCCCCAAATACATAAATAGCATATTAGGGATTATTGGAAGATGTGATTAAATTACATGAAGTTTATATGCTATAGGGCCAAAAGTTTTCATTGATAGGTTTGAATGAATAGAGGCAAGTGGTTTGGCTTCAAGATAATAAATAGCAAAGATGAGACAAAGACAAATTCTGAGTCTTAAGAATGCATAGTCATGCCAAAACAAATATTTCATCATATTAGAGCTGAGAAGGTAGTCTGGAAATAGTTTACCAAGGAATGAAAGACTGGGGTGATTCTATGAAGGCCTAACAGCTAATACAATGGAGTATTAGGACTGTGGCACAGGGACAGAAAAGACATTGAAGGATAGAAAGTAGACAGGGATAGTTCCAGGAGTGAAACTATTTATAACATCTTTGGCAAGGAAGTGGTGATAGAGAGGGCTTGTGGTGTTCAAGAGTTTGAAGACAATAGCATTCTGGTAGATTAGAAACAAACCCAGTAGGACTGGTCAAGCTCCTAAAC